AACAATCCACTATGCTGAAAAGAGTTAACAGAGCAGGCCTGAGACTGCCATCCTTAGAAAGGCCTGTTTACATTTGTGAGGTTGGTCTTTGACTGACAGCTGTGAATTTAGATTTCAGAATGGCTCCCACCATTTTCTGTTATAAGTTTTATAAACGATATGGCTTATGCTGAATACCTATTTTCCTTCTGGGAGTCTGAAATTTGGGTACATGCAGGGCAGAGGGTTTAGACATGAACAATCCCCAGTCTAAGCCCTGGGCAATAAGTCTCTAATAGCCTTCTTGGTATGCACCACATAGGCACTATCACAACTCATTGTTGGAGGAATTAAACACACCCAGTATGATCCTACTGGGATAGAACTCTGGAAGCTTCTATGTGGTTTATGCTGGACTTTATCTCACAAGACTTTTCCCTTTGCTGATTTTTGCTGTTTCCTTCTGCTGTAATAAATCACTGTCATGAGTAAAACCAAACACTGAGATCTGTGTGTAAGTCTGTCCTAGTGAATCCCTAAATATGCACAATGCCTAGCCAGAAATCACATCACAAAAACAAACAAAACTGTATAAAATAAGATACTGTTGCTATTAAATTTTACTTTGAGGAATAAGTATCTATCAGGCTGACCAGTGACCTATTTGGGAGACTAAATCTGAATAAGACCTGACTTTCCTTCTAAATTTCAGATACTTCCAAGCAACTTTGAGATAGGGGAAGAAAGAGTTTGAGGGGAAAATGACAAGGACAAAGGACTAGTAATGCCCAAAACAACTAATATCAACCACATATTAAATTGTATGAGTTGCTATAGGCATGTTACTGAGTTAACTCATCTAACCCTAAAAGCTTCTATTGGTGGAGAAAACAGACACTGATTTTGCCCAAGATTAAATAATGAGCCAAAATTCAAACCCAAGTGTATCTAAAGGTCACAGCACTAAGTCTAACTAAAAGGAATGAGTATGGTTTCTGCCTACATTCAGGGTTTTAAACCAATGAGTATAGCACAATAGCAACCAGATAATTTCTTTTACTTTGTGTATGAGAATGTGGAGGAATGTTTAATAATATGAAGTATGCTTTGTTTAAACTGCTTTGGAACTTACTACCAATATCCTTAATGAAAAAAGATACAAAAATGTTTAATAAAATGCATGCAAACCAAATTCAACACATTAAAATGATTATACATTATGATCAAGTTGGTTTCACTCCAGGGAGTCAAGGATGGTTCAACATATGCAAATCAGTAAGTGTAATATACCACATAAATAAAATCAGGGATGACAATGACATAATCACCTATCTCTGTTGGCATAGAAAAAGCCTTCAACAAAATTCTACATCATTTCATGATAAAGACCCTGAAGAAACCAGATTAAAGGATAATACCTCAATAAATAACACTTACAACAAATATATAGCCATAATCATACTGAATGGTGAAATCTGAAAGCACCTGCTCTACTACCAGGAAGGAGACTACTCCTAGTCAAAACAGAACTTGAAATTTTACTTAGAGCAATCAGGCAAGAGAATTAAAAAAAAAAAAAAAAAGTAACACAAATAGAAAGGAAAGAAATAAAATTATCCTCATTTGCAAACAATATGATCCCATCCTTAGACGTTTCAACAAGACTTTTACCACTGGACTTTTAGACCTGAAGACAAAAAATAACAGGATATAAAATCAACATTAAAAAGTAGGTTTTTTTATACAACAACAATGAACTACTGAGGAAAAAAAAACAGGAAAACAATTCCAATCGCAATAAAATACCTAGGAATTCACCTAACTGAGGTGGTGAAAGAACTTTACAATGAAAACTACACATGAGTGAAGAAAGAAACTAAAGAAGTCAAACATCCTAAAATTCATATGAACCACAAAAGATCCAGAATAACCACAAAAATCCTAAGCATACAGAGCAAGCCTACAATACCACAATACACAATTTCAAAATATACTAGAAAGCTAAAATAATAAAAATAGAATACAATACTGACACAAAAATAAACATATAAACCAATGAAATAGAGGACAAAGAAATCCACACAACAGTCAACTGATTACTGAAGGAAGGAGTCAAAAACACACAATAGGAGGGCTGGCCAAATAGCTCAGCAGATTAAATCTCCTGCTTAGTCCTGCTGGCCCACCCCAGGGGCACACTAAAACACTGATTGAGACTGGGTGTGGTGGTACACACCTGTAATACCAGCTCTTTGGGAGGCTGAACACAGGAGAATCAGATCTATATAGTGAGACCCTGTAGACCCTGTAGACTCTTACTAAAATACAAAAATAAAAAATACACACACACACACACACACACACGGGAAAAGGCATTCTCTAACAAACAGTGCTAGGAAAATTGGATATCCACATGTAGATGAGAGAAACTAAACACTATCTGACACTGTACAAACATCAATTCAAAATCGAACAAAGACCTATATATAAGACCTGAAACTGTAAAACTGCCAAAGAAAATATAGGGGAAACACTTTCAAGTCACAGACACAGGAAATAATACAAAGAATCAGCAGATGAGACTGTATCAAATTAAAAAGGTTTTGTACAGCAAAAGAAATAATCAACAAAGCAAAAGAACAGCCTACAGACTGAGAAAAAAATCTTTGCCACCTACTTTTCCAACTCTGTTGACATCCACCTACAATCCTAGCATTCTGGGAAGCTAAAACAGAAGAATCACAAGTTTGAGCCCACCTCAAACAACTTTACAAGACCCTGTCTCAAAGAGAAAAAGAGTAAATAAATTTAAACACCTCTTATTGTAAAGACTTTGCCTTCCATACATTCCTCCCAAAACAGGAATAGGTAAACAACTCAAAAACTTCATAGCAAAAAACCAATAGCCCAATCAATAAATGGACAAATGAACTGAAATGACACTTTTCAAGAGAAGAACAAAGGGCAAAAAATACATTTAAAAATGTTCAAAATACTTAGCCATTCATAGTGGCATGCCCTGTAATCCCAGCACGCAGAAGCTCAGTGTGGTAAGAGAATCCTGGGTTTCAGATAAGCCTGGGCTACACAGTTGAGGTACAGATCAGACTGAGTTACAAAGTAAGATTCTGCCTCAAAAAGCAGAAAAAAAATAGAATATTTCAAAAGAATACCAAAACGCAATGAATGCTTGCAATGGTGAACTTCTGCAGTGCTGGTGAGACTTTGTGAATTAGTAGCCACAACAGAAATCAGTATAGACGTTGCTCAAAAACTAAAAATACTAGGCTGAAGACATGGCTCAGTAGGACAGTGCTTGCGTACCATGCCCAAGGTCCTGGGTTCAATCCCCACTCCTAGAAAATAAAACTAAATACAGAACTACCATATGACCCAGCTACACCATTCTTGGTAAATACCGAAAGGAATTAAAGTCAGCTATAGGGATGACTCCAGACTACAAGTTTTTAAGGCACAATTCACAAAAGTCAAGAT